TTAAACCCAACTAAAGTTAAGGATAAACCTAGAACGACCTATCACACTGTGCCTCTTCCCAATTTAACTCTAATAAGAATTCACTAACACCTACTTGTTACATGATGTCACAGAATCACAAGCTCAAAGAAAAGCTACAAGAACTGTAACAAACCTCAGCACTTGGGACACAGATCCCTGTAAGTCCAAGGCCAGCCTTGCCTACAGTGCAAGTTCCAGGCCAGCTAATCTACATAGTGAGATCCTTTCCGAAAAAGAAAAAAAAAAATCAAAAACCATAGCAGGGAAAAGATAAGACAGAGATTTGTTCATATTTGTTCTTAGGGCCCTATATAAAGACTTGCCCCAAGTCCTAAGCCCAGATCCTACCAATTTCATTGCCACAAATAAACACATTTATGTCTATGAGGTTTTTGCTTCCTGTTTCTTTATTTCTCCATACCACCTGCTGAAATATAAACTCTCTCATTCGATGTCTACAGTGATGAGTAAGGGACCAGATAAGCCTATCAGGAATGCCCTAACCCTATATGACTCTCCATGCTGCCACCCTGTGGCTCTCACTGGAAATGAGCTGCAGTCTACATGGATGGGACTAAGGATCAAAAATGGATCAACAAACTGGCTTTCATTCCACATGCAAAACCGCAGCAGCCCCATGCCTCAAAGGACTTGCCTTAAAATAGTCACAGCAACATTTAAATGAGAGGTTTCAACTGACTCCAGGCCAACCTCTCAGCCTGTGAATGCTCAGCTAAATGGAAAAGGATGTCCTCTTCTCTTAGCTATGAAAGTAATGGGCCATACATCATACATACATACATACACACGTACACACACACACACATATTTGGTCTTTTGAGACAGGGTTTCTCTGTGTAGCCCTGGATGTCCTAGACATTCTGTAGGCCAGGCTGGCCTCAAACTTACAGAGATCCGCCAGACTCTGACACCCAAGTGCTGGGATTAAAGACATTTTTTGCCAATGCCAGGCTGTTTCTTAAAGTATATAAAAGAACTACAACAAATAGTTAAAATTGAGATTTTTAAAATGTATTTATTCCCCCTTTATCTATTTAGATAGATTTGTCTTGACAGCATAGTAAATACAATTCCACAGAAAAAATCTATCTTTTTGGTTAAATGTGCTGGTGAGAGATTTTTAACTATATATTCATGATTAGAGCAAGATACAGTAGCACACACCTTTAATCCTGATGTAGCCTGTTAGCTTAGCTGTAACTTTTTTGTTTCATGCCTGCCAGCCATCCCATACTGCTGACACAAAAGTAACTTGACAGTAGACACAGAAAAATAGTTTGGCTCAGAGCAAGATCAAGTTGACTGTATATTCAAAGGTTTATTCTCCTTTTCCTCTTCTTCCTTCTTCGTCCTCTTCTCTTTGAAAATTCTCCGATTGTAGCCTTCACTGAGAGCCAAGCAAGTTAGAGGGCAGGTTAAACTGTCACATCTCAACTACTAAAAGAAACTTGGGGAAAGACTGATGACCCGCAGCACTCCCTGCACATGCTCAGGAGCTCATTGTGGTTTTCTGCCTATATAAACTGAGCCTGACAAATACTCGAGGTTGTAGCTTACAGCTCCTGGACTCTGAGCTACAGATCCAGTCTGTCTTGGGGGTTGCGTTCAATAAACCATCCCTGATTAACTGAGTGGTTTGTGCGGCAATTCAGATCTCAACAATCCAACACTTAGGAGACAGAGGCAGTGGATTTCTGTGAGTTTGAGGCCAGCCTGGTCTACACAACGAATTCTAGGCAAGCCAAGGATACACAATGAGAACCTGTCTTTTTTTTAAAAAAAAAAAAATCTGAATATAGTTTGCTGGCTATATTCTAGTACTTCCTAACCACACTTGTGACTGTCCACGACACTTCCTAGTGACGTTGTACCCACTGTATTTTGTGATATCACCAAGGAAAACTGCCCCATGGAGGATTTCTCAAAATTTATCCCACCATGTAGTGTCACACGGCTGTATATGACTCTGCATAGGACAGCTCTAAGGAGGTGCCTGGGACGCCCTAGAGATGACTTGAGCTGCACAGGCTAGACAAGAACCACAACAGGATCTGGTTCTGAGGGAGCCTGGAGGGAGGGAGCTTCCCTGGGCACACCCTGGGCACAGCCAGTGAAGCCTTGCCACAGGAAGGTGTCTGTTGCCAATGAGGATTGGATACGCTGTGTGCCGGGAACCGGGGAAATGTGTCATTCTCACTAAATGTTTGATTTGACCAGAGCTGAGTGCTGCTCTCACTGTGAGAAGCTTGCTAACTATCTCCAAGCTCACCTCTTCCTTCCGAGGCAGAACCTCTGCGGGATTTTCCACCACAACCTCTGTCCCTGAGCTTGTTCTTTCCAATCTAAACAGGCTGGTCATTGCCAAGGCCAGAGTGGAACACGCTTGTAATTCAGACACTCTGGACACTCAGGCCCAAGAATCATGAGTTCAAAGCCAGCCTGGACTATCCTTTATCACAAGAGGGAGGGGAGGGAAGAGAGAAAAGGAGGAGAGTTAATCACTTCAGGTAGGGATATTTTACTGAGCCATCCCGCCCTATCCTTTAAATTGCTCTTAAATATCAGGCACAAAGACTGGAACCTGAGTTTCTTGCAGGCCGCTTGGATTCATCATGAATGCTCCAGCCCCAGAGAGATCTCCCTCTGTCCAGTTAGTTTCCATACAGTCTCCTTACTGCTGCGATGAAGGGTGTATGCCACTATGTCAAGCATGACAATAATCTCTTAACAACCTTCCTAATTCCATTTTCATACCGATGTTACCCTAGAACCCACAACAGCTGGTTCAGAGTGAAATCCCTCACCTGTGTGGATCCTCACAGCGGCACACGTGGATCTGTTGTGTGATGGGTACAGATTTCTCTGAAGATTAGATGGTGTGTCTCAGGTCACACACAGCTACTACAGTGGCTGACAGGGAACAGTCTGGGCCCTCGTTACTTGCTTTTGAGTCACTCTATGGAAAAGCTATGGCACAGCACTAGGCTTTCTCCACAGAATCCCATCATTGCTGCTCAGGGCTCAAGCCACCTGAAGTCCACTTGGGGCTCCCTTGTTAATACGGATTTAGAGTGGTCTCTAACTTATCCATGCTATGCTTGGCAGGAGGCTGCTGTGGCTTCCCAGGGCCTAGTTCTAGTAAGAGACACGGGACAGAAAGGAGTCGATAGTACAGGAAAGCGTATTTATTAGCTCCCTCTGAACTGAGACAAGCACCTGTGGAGTTCTAGAAAAAAAGAAGTGTTAACTGGACACTTCTGGAAGTTTCCAGAAACCTTAGTCCTGTGTAGCACTAGTTTAAAAGTACACAGGACAGAGTGGCATTGCTCCAGCCAGTGCAGTCTGGACAGCCCTGAAGAGGAGTCTATGCCACAAAGGGGAAGTGTGAGCAAAAACATAATTATCAGCTACCCCCTACAGAGACAGAGAGAGAGGAGTGGGGCTCTGCATGAATGGTTTCTGTTTACCCAGAGGCTGGATTCTTGTTGTCAGAAGAGCCCGAGATGGTACAGGATGTGTCTCTTCTTGTGTATGACCCTAGGTTTAGGTCTTTTTTGTCCAACCCCCTACCGGGTGTGTAATTCCACCTCAGAGAGGATCGAGGGGGCATGGTCCACCAAGTTCCTCACTTATTCTATACTCCTCAGGAAACAATACATACGTTAAACTTCGCCAGCAGGCACTTCCACATATACTAATCCTGGAACCTGCCTGACACCAGGAGACAAAGTCAGAGCATGTGACTGGGGCAGCTAATGGGCTGGTGCCAGCTGTGTGGTGACAAGCAGTTACTGACCAAGGGGATGTGGGCAGAAGGTCCAAAAGCATCTCCACTACAATAAACGAATCTGCTTCTGCTTCTCACCTCCCTCCCACGCACCATGATCTGTGTCGTTGATTCTGTCTAACCCCCTACCCCCAAGGACTGACTCAGGGGGCTGAGAGCTAGGTCAACAGACTCTTTTCTTATGTAATTTTTAAAAGATTGTATAAAAGGAGCTCTGGCAAAGAGGAGGGGAAGTCACTCCCAGGGCAGGGCTCAGCCTTTTTGTGCACAGTGTCCAGACCCTGCCGTTGAACAAGCATCCCATCTCTGTGACCAGCCTGTCTGTCTACCTACTTTCTAGTCCCCTGGATCCCCAGCCATGCAGAGAGCCTCTGATCTAAAGTCAAAACCCTAGAAAATGTGTTACAATTCCAACCTAGGGAGTCTGAGGGTCAGGCTGCAGGAACCTGAGGCTCAGACGTGAGGTCAAGTGAAGGGATGGGGGAAGGGAATCTGCATGCCATGCTTAGATCCAGCAACTCCGAAAACTTTTTTTAGTACATAGTTGGGGGCTATGGAGTTACGTATGGGGAGTACGGAAAAAGTAATTTATCTGAAGTCATCCACCCAGAACATCGGCCATATCTGACTTTGAACAAAAAAAAAAATTCTTAAAAGAATTATTTATTTTACGTATAGGAGTACGCTGAAGCTGTCTTCAAACACACCAGAAGAGGGCATCTGATCTCATTACAGATGGTTGTGAGCCACCATGTAGTTGCTGGAAATTGAGCTCAGAACCTCTGGAAGAGCAGACAGTGCTCTTAACCGCTGAGCCATCTCTCTAGCCCTTGATCAAACATTGTAACGCTGTGCACATAAAAACCCTCCCATTGCCGGACGGAGGCAGGAAGCAAGAGGCAGGTGGATCTCAGAGCTCGTGGCCAGCTTGGTCTGCATATCGAATTCCAGAGCATAATGGGGAGAGAGAGCCCCTGCCTTGACCCTCAGAAACGTACATCTTTTCCACCTGACTGTCTTTTCCCACCTGTTTTATGTCCTACTACTTCAGATCATCTTTACCTTGAAACAGGGTAGCGCCCCTCTCCGATTGATTCTGGGAGTATTCGCATCACGATGTACCCAAGGCTTAATCACCCACAGATTTGAATACCTATTACATCTTGCGCACCTGATAAGGGCTGCCGCACTGAGAGAAGTCCGGATGATACTACAGTCAAAAGAGAGCGTCGATTGCAATAAGACAGTCATAGAGCTGAATTAGCTACGAATGCCTGGGCGACATAACATCCCGGGATCGCGCTTGTGATGGGCGCAGGAAAGGCCTTCGGTCGTTAAATGGCCAAGTGAGAAAGGAGAGAACACGGTGTCAAGTCACATACAGCCTCAGGACTCGGGGAAGCGCCACCGACGCAGACCCGACCGCCTGACTCGGAACCAATCCTCGGCTCCTCAGGAAACCTACTCGTACCTCGCTTTCCTCTGAAGCGAATGAAACCTAAGAACGCGGCGCAGAGGCTGCCGGGAGGAGGCTGCTGGAGGAGGCAGCTCAAAGAGAGGTCGCCACGCCCTTCGCGAGGGGGCGGGACATGCAAATCAGACTCGGCGTGCGCGCTCGGAACGCCGGGAGAGCCGAGCTCGTGGAAATTTGTTGCCGAAGCTGTGGGTCCTGGAGAGGGAGTGAG